CACGGGGTCCACCTGCCGCTGCCTTCACGGCTGGCTGCTCGCCCTGAGTGACTTTCTGGCAAACGTCCCCATCGGAGCTCTCTCAGGATCCGAGAAGCGTCTTGCACAGCTCGCGCTCCGCCGTAACCTCTCTCCCTTACGCACACGTCGAAGCGCGCACGCCCTTCAAGACAGGTCGGAAAGCAGCTTCTCATTAACTGCTCTCAAAACGCAGGCCGAGTCGGGAACCAGCAGTTAGCGTAATGGCTATGTCGCTGGACTCCCTCGTGGTCGACCGTGGTTCGCGTCCCGGACCCGGTGGCTTAAAACTCACGCCGGGCGCGTGTGCGTGCGTGCCCAAGATCCCGAGAGGAGAATGGAGGAGAAGGGATTGCGGCGTGACCATCCCCCCTGGGGGGTGATTTCTCGCTTTCTGTCTCTCTGTCTCTCTCTCTCTGTCTGGCGAGCGCACGTGCACTATAGTGAAAAACCCCTCAGAAAAACAAAACAAAACACTCAGGAAGAGTCTAACGAGAGCTGCCATGGAAATGTTTCCAGAGTTTTCCCAGCATTAGGAAGTTGAGAGCTGCTAGTCAGGAGCTTCTAAACAGCATAGCGAGGCCACAGAGGAATGTGAGTCTTACAAGGCATGTGTCACAAACACCCTCCCTTAACCTAACACGATTAAATTCCATTTCATAAAAAGGTGCAGATCCCAAATCACTTGGTTTAGCACAAACGACATTGGACACGACCTCTCGCTATACCTGCCTCAGGGTACTATGGAGTGCACTCTGGGAGTCTGGACACCTGAATTCTATACCCAGTTTTTTTTTTTTTTTTTTTTTTGAGAGATTTTCATTGTAGGGCGCGTGTGCTCGCCAGACAGACAGAGAGAGAGAGAGACATAGAGACAGAAAGCGAGAAATCACCCCCCAGGGGGGATGGTCACGCCGCAATTCCTTCTCCTCCATTCTCCTCTCGGGATCTTGGGCACGCACGCACACGCGCCCGGCGTGAGTTTTAAGCCACCGGGTCCGGGACACGAACCGCGGTCGACTATGTGGGAGTCCAGCGACATAGCCATTATGCTAACTGCTGGTCCCTATACTCATTATTTTTAA